ACAGGCAGGGGATGAGCGTGGAGTAACCGGACTCTTACTGTGTAGCTCACACGTGAATTTAATGTTAAAACCCCAAGCCAGGGAGGTTTATACACAGTGAGATGTGTGGGGAACTTCTAAATATCATAGGTGAATTCTAAATAAGTTCATTTGCGCCAAATTATAATGGCTAATCAAAGAATCCCTTTCAACTAGCAAGTGGGGAATCTGAGACCTTGAGGGTTAATTTCCATGCCCAAAGTCTGTGGACTCTCTGGCCAGTGCTCTTTTCTTATATCATTTTATAGGCTAGGTGTTTTTTGTTTATTACCTTTATTTACTGTGTTATGATTTATATGAGGGTACTTCAAAGAGTTTGAAGAAAAATATAATTAAAAGATAATACAATTCTTTCCATGAACTTTGCGAAGTAGCGTACATTATTCTAGTGTTAGTTTTAAGTACTTCTAGAAAGTCTATTTGCTATTGAAGCAAAAGGATAGCATAATTTAGCTAAAATGTAACAAATGAAAACTCCATAGCTATAAATAATTTCTAATTATGTGCCTCTTTTTCCAGTATATGGGCATTAAGCATTTCAAATAAGAGTCATTCTGGGTGTGTGTCCAAATTTTTAACTGATTGGAGTGGAAACTAAGCAGCCTGCACACTGTGTTGGAATTTGTATGAATGGCATTGGCTTCTAATTTCTATTGGAAATGTCTCTGTCCTAAATTTCAAACGTAGATGTGCTTACTAAAGATTGTAAGTGGTTATTGAAATATTAACTTTAATGACTTATCTGAAAGCCTTGGACATTGACTCTCGAAAAAGCCTATAAAAATATTTTAATGTTGGAAAAATATAAGTACAGTTTTCATGTAGTATTTCTATATTTATTTAATTCAGATGTGGGGAAATATGGTTAACTAGTTGTATAATTCCTTACTGGTCTAACTCTAAGGGAATAATTAAAAAACTGGAGTTATATCAGGCTATTACTTTGAATTAATTTAAAAGAATTATTTATATTTTGAATTCAAATACAAAAACTATATGATGTTTATAAAATTTATAAATGTATAACTTAACCAAGAGAGTTATAGTAAAGTTATTTGGAATTGTTTTTGCTAGTCAATCGTCGCATTTTGTAGATTTTTCATAATCCTTAGTTTAAAATAACCTCATTATATGGAGCTTTAGATCAGCCTGTGTCAACAGGATTTCCTGTGGTGTTGGCATGAAATTGAACTGCAGTCACTTGCCATGGCTTTCTTTTTACTGGAAATTTATTTTTTATTTTTATTTTTGGTGGCTTTTGTTCAGTTTCAAGTTGAGTATGACTACCCCTCACCCCTCAATGAGATAGTAGGAAGTATCATTCTCAGTTTTCTTTTGTAATTCTTGGAATATGCATGTTTGAGAACCAGGATAAATGTGTTCATAGCTAATAAGTGTAGTCAGCAAGTTCATTAAAGAAGCCATTTAGGTTCAACAGAAGTGCTACTCGATCATTCCTTGAACCGTAGTTGAGTGCCTGGATTGCATCAGATCTCGGCTACAAGCTGGGGGTCCCAAAATCTGACTTTGGTTTTTGCTTTTACAGAGCTGCATAGAATAGGAAAAGGTAACATTATTCAAATAATCACTAAAATGTGTAGATAATTGAGACATGCGGCATGAGCTGAGAAAAACAGGCACATGGTGCTCGAGGGCATTCAGCAGGGTAGAGATGTCAGTGAGTGCTCCCCAGAGTCACAGTGACCTGGGGAGGTGCTACGTGTGCCTGTGCCCCAAGCACACAAGGTTTGAGGAATTCAGCAAGGGCAGCATGGTAAGGATCTGACGTGATGGGGTGATGGTGCAAGATGAACTGGACAGAGACAGAGGCCAGACCAGACCATAAAGATCTTTCTAGGCCAGTACTGAGGATCTTAGAAAATCTTACAGCAGACAGAAGCAAAGTGTTTTTTAAGTCGGAAGACAGCATGATAAGCCTTGAACTTTGAAAAGATTGCTCTGACTACAGTGTGGAGAATTTTGTTAAGGAAATATTTCATGGTCCTATTTGATCAAAATTTTATGGAGAGTTCCTGCAAAGTGCAAGCTATTTTGCTCACTACTGTTAGGAAAGCAAAGAAGGTAGTTCCTTGCTCAGGAGCTTTACTTAAGGGTTTGCCTCTGAAAATCCACTAGCTCTTATTTACCTCTGATTTGTAATCAAGGCAGACCTTCTTAACTATAANTTAAGGAAATATTTCATGGTCCTATTTGATCAAAATTTTATGGAGAGTTCCTGCAAAGTGCAAGCTATTTTGCTCACTACTGTTAGGAAAGCAAAGAAGGTAGTTCCTTGCTCAGGAGCTTTACTTAAGGGTTTGCCTCTGAAAATCCACTAGCTCTTATTTACCTCTGATTTGTAATCAAGGCAGACCTTCTTAACTATAATTATCCTTGGAACTGTTTCAACACCATTCATTAGGTTGGCGCCTATTGTTGCATATTGGTTAGTATTTGGTTCTTTGTGTCACAGTCTCCACATGAGACTCATTGTAGTGTCTGCTCAGCACCTTGAGAGATGAGGGATTGTAGCTGATGGGTTCTGTAGAGGTAACCCAATCTTATTTCCTTAACTGCACATTTATTCTACACTGTATCAAAGGTAAATACAGCCAGACNTCTGCCCCTACCGTGCCCTTTGATCATTTCCATTCCAGCATTATATTTCTACCCACTAGATGTTTTATCTGTATGCCAAGCTATCATTTTTAGCTCAACACATGTAAAAACAAGCTTTTACCCTGTGTCTTCTTACAACACAACTTCCCATTCTGATTTCTTTTTTCATTAATGGTATGAACTATGATCAAAACCTGGACATTTATTTATCTGTACAAATGGCACTGTACATGAAGGACATGTCCAGAAAAGTCTTCCCTCCAAGAAACCTGTATCATGCATGTGTGTACCGGAAGAGCTGTCAACCAGTGTTCAGAGTCGGTCAGGGAGTCCGGACAGAGAAGGACAGGCAGGGGATGAGCGTGGAGTAACCGGACTCTTACTGTGTAGCTCACACGTGAATTTAATGTTAAAACCCCAAGCCAGGGAGGTTTATACACAGTGAGATGTGTGGGGAACTTCTAAATATCATAGGTGAATTCTAAATAAGTTCATTTGCGCCAAATTTTAATGGCTAATCAAAGAATCCCTTTCAACTAGCAAGTGGGGAATCTGAGACCTTGAGGGTTAATTTCCATGCCCAAAGTCTGTGGACTCTCTGGCCAGTGCTCTTTTCTTATATCATTTTATAGGCTAGGTGTTTTTTGTTTATTACCTTTATTTACTGTGTTATGATTTATATGAGGGTACTTCAAAGAGTTTGAAGAAAAATATAATTAAAAGATAATACAATTCTTTCCATGAACTTTGCGAAGTAGCGTACATTATTCTAGTGTTAGTTTTAAGTACTTCTAGAAAGTCTATTTGCTATTGAAGCATTTAGTTAAAGCAGTGAAAACAGATTTTATTCAGTAACCACTGACATTCGGACTTGTGCAGAGGTGACTGAGTGTTTTAAAGGGAGAATGGGGGTAGGCGTAGACTGCAGGGGTTAGTTAAAGCAGTGAAAACAGATTTTATTCAGTAACCACTGACATTCAGACTTGTGCAGAGGTGACTGAGTGTTTTAAAGGGAGAATGGGGGTAGGCGTAGACTGCAGGGGCTTGAGCAGAGTAAGGGAAGTGAAAAATTATAAAAAGTGGGAAGGGGGCCTTCGTCCATGTGAACCCTATCTGAGTTTGCTAACTGGTGCATAAGCAGGAAATTAGGCTCCTGCCCTCCTGCAAAGGCTGAGAGACAGGGACCCTATGTTCAGGTGTTGGCTGGAATAAAGAGTAAATTCATTTGGCAGCCTTGAGTTTTCTCAGGCAGGCACGTCAAGGGGGTTTAGGATCATCCTAGGGATGCGGTCCTGAGCTGTTCAAAACTATGTTAGAGTTTGTTCAAGTCTTTGTAGGTCAAGGTTGAGGTCTAGTTAAAAAGAAGGCCAGAGTTTGGTCAAGGAAAGAATCTTTGTCAATTGCTAGAGAAACCTTGCCTTTATAGGCAGCATAACACAGAGAGAAGAACTCTGGAGAGGGTTAAGAGATGTGGGATTTGAATCTTGGCTGGCTACCAAATTTCTTTGTGACCTCAGGCAAGTCATTTCCCTTTTTGGGGCGGGGGGCAAGGGAAGGACAGGGGTGCTTAGTTTCCTTCTCTTTAAAATAAAGAAGTCAGATCTGGTGATTATTTTAAAGAGCCCTTCCTACTTGGATAGCTTATTATTTTAAATCTAAAACGCATGTCCCATCTTGATAACATAATATTAAGGAGACTCTAACCTTTTGCTCTTTTCTCAGGGCCTTCATTAGAAGGATCATATACCCTCAAGTCAGAAATCCCCTTTGGAAGGGTCTGCTTGTCCCTCTGGTGAAGTGGGTGTGGTACCCAGCTCAAGCTGGAAACACCCAGGTTTTACTGAGTTCTGGGTCCACCTACTTCTCTGCTCATCAGACCAGGAACAAGAGTGTGTGGGGAATCCCATTTAGGAAGGAACGTGATATTTGGAGCAGAATGAGACAGCCAGCATCAGCAGGCTGATGGAAAGGTCTGGTTCCAAATAGGGCACTGCCCACCAGAAAGGCCACAGGGCTTTTAACAGAAAAAGGATAGCACCTGAATTTTACCTATCTGAGGCAAAATAAATCTTGACATTAGTAAATGCTGTCACCATCTCAAGAGAACTCTCAGGAAAGCTAGGTAACCATAAGATGAATTTTGTAATTCATTCTGGAGTAATTTTCTCTGGGAGATTTATGGAAATTGAGTTCAAGTTCATGATTCTTTAGTATATAGGAATGTGTTAGTCAAAATTATCTGTCTGCCCTTAATATAAGGTTTTAACAATGCAAAGTTTGTTTATTATATTGAAATTTGAACAGTTTATTTGGAATTTAAGTTTGCTGTGTCTGTTAAGAAAGTAGATGTAGATAGTCTAAGCCGTTTTTCTATTTGAATGGGTTTAGTGGCAAGTATACATCATATGTAAAGAATCTAACTAGATCTAGTTACAGGTCTAGCATGACGCTGATGAATTTGCACAAGGGATCACATGCATGTCTGCAGCACCTAGATCAAGAGATAGAAAGTGACCAGTCTTCCAGGAGTGCCCTGTCTGTCACTAACCCCACACCCAAGCTAACTGCTCTCTAGATTTGTAACACTGTAGTTTAGCTCTACCTGTGTTTGAACCTTATATAGATCTACTCTTTTGCATCTCACTTCTCTCACTGGATATTACTTGTAATATTCATCTGTGCTGTTGCACATAGCAATGTCTCGTTCTTATAGCCATACAGCAGGGATCAGCGAGCTATGTGTGGCCTGGGGACCACCTCCAGCTTGTGGCTTCATTTTGTACAGCCCATGAACCAAGAATGGTTTTTACATTTTTAAAGAATTGTAAAGAAAATAGATGACAGAGACTGAGTATGACCTGCAAAGTCTAAACTAAAAGGTTTAGGCCTTTGCAGAAAACATTTGCTGATTCCTGCTCTATAGTATTCCATTGTATAAATATACCACACTCTATCCATTCTACTGTTGATAGAAATTTGGGTTATTTTCTGATTTGGGCTATTTTGAGTAGTGCCATTATGGATATTCTTGTGCAGGTCTCTTGGTGCACAAAAGTACAGATTGCTGTTAGGTTTCAACCTCTGAGTGGAGTAGCTGTGTGATGTTCAGGCTTAGAAGATACCATCAAACAGTTTGCTAAAGTCATTGTTGTCTACTTCCAATAGCCATGTATGAAAGTTCCATTCACTCCATACCTTCCCAACACTTGGTATTGTCAGTCTTATTTTTTCCTTTTTGTCTTTTTTCGTGTCCGGCAACGGATAGCAACCCTCAGTGTCGCGNCGGCAACGGGATCGCAACCCACGGTGCCGCGCCCACACCTCGCTCAGCCAGTGAGCGGGAACTGGCCTATATTGTCAGTCTTTTTAATTATAGCCATTCTCGTGGCATTTAGTGATAAGATGATATGGTTTTAATTTGCCTTTCCTTGGAGACACCTGAGGTTGAACATCTGTTCATAGGTTTGTGAACCTTATGGTATCCTCTTCTGTGAAATGCCTATATAATTTTTTTGTACCATTTTTCTATTGGGTCATTTGCCTTTTTCTTTATCGATTCATAAGAGTTCTTTATATATTCAAGATATAAGTCCTTTGTATATGTATGAATTGTAAATATTCCATTCTGCAGCTTGTCTTTTTACTCTCTTAATGGT